CAAGGAATTAAATTATAATCTACCTAGTTTTTTTATAAATGCCTTGCACACCAAAAGAAAATGGCATTATTCTATTATTAATATAATTATAATATAAATTTTTATTTTGAGTTTTTAACTTATTGTAACAGATAATTTCTAAAAACTAAATGGTATGTCGGTTTCGGTGATTTTCATGCAAAAATCAACTTTATGTTTACAATTTTATAGATTTAATATAACTCGATAGGTTTGAACCAGTTTATATTTATCCTTTTGAATTTTAGAATTTTAAATACATACATCATTTTTCTTTGATATTCAATTTTTGTAATTATTATCTAGCAAAAGAGATAAAAAGATATTCCTTACTGTTTGTTATTAATATATGTGCGGATACCAGTCCAAAACACATTAGCAGTCAACTGGTGTAACATGCGCCATATATTTGATGCTGAAACAATTAAAATTATAATGTGCTTGTCAAGTACTTTAAAATATATAAATTTCTAAAAGTTAAGATATATTTCTTTTATAATAAAATTTATCTATCAGTACATTGTATTTTAAATTGCATGTAGTTTAGTTTTTTATTTTTTTTTTACAAAATTAAAAAATTTGCATATTTAACGGTACTATTTAATTATAGTTACATTAACTATTTGTAAAATTTTACTTATATTTTCCCAACTTACGTTTTGTATGATCTAGAAGATAGCTAAGTGAATTAATTTTATTTTGCATTGGAAGCAGTATCAAAGAGAAAAGATTCCTGTTGTGTTTCGACGATAATAAATTTATTATGTCATAATACGGAACAATCTAAAAATTTATAATAATAAAATAAATATTTGGTCAACAAATTACAATTTAAAGCAATACAGCACGACTGATCGTTGCAAATAAACATTTAAATTGCTTTTTTATTATAAAATAAATTATTTATTAAATAGTTATTAACAAAAAAAGTTTAATTAATACAACGTATATTTCTAACACTATGCATATTAAATAGGACAAACTTTAGCAGATTTATCTATTCAAATGTGGAATTATTGAATATATGGATTTTAGTCGTTACTCCACGTTTAAAAGTTTTCAACAATATAACAAGCTATTACTAATGAAAATTAGCACTTCAAATAAATATTTATCTAAATTTTACTGCCCAAGAGTTTTGAGGAAAGATCATTATACTGTCCTCATGTAGCAAATGTTCTTTTATTACTTTGATTAAAAAATATAAATTAAAATAAATTAATGTAAGTAAGTAAGTTAATGTAAGGTATGCAATTTCTGTTACCAATTCATAGCATCACACACACACACACACACACACATATGTTGCTACATGAATTTCTTTATTTGACATACAATGATGAAAATCTAATGAATTATTTGCACCAAATGCAAGTACTATGACGAACACATTGGTAACATATGTCAAGGTTCAGACGATTGGATCTGATTGTGCAAATCGAAATGCTTATCAAATATAGTATATCAATATTAAGAATTTAAAACCTGATTCAAGATAAACATTGCAAGAAATTTAAGAAAACCTCTTCTTGACCACAGTAACACATCATTATACCAAAAGAGATACTATTTGATAT